TATGATTAAAATTATCATATAGTATATTTTTAGTTTTTAATAATATATATAATTGTTTGTCTAAAATAATATAATATATATTTAATTTTACATAATAAGTCAACAGGTTTATTGCAGCTCAACTGGTAAAGCCGCACGTGCGCACGGAGGAGGTCCTGGGTTCAAGCCATGGAGAAATCACTTTGAGAAGGGAATTATGTGGTGGTGACATGTGACGCACGCATGGCAGGCGGAGGTGAGGTGGCAGCACACATGGTAGTAGATGTGAGGTGGCAGCGACACGTGGCGCACACGTGGCAGGCGGAGGTGAGGTGGCAGCGACACGTGGAGGTGGTCCTAGTGATAACGTGGCAATTGGTAGAGGTGCCACGTGGCATTTTATTTTATTTTTAAAAAAATCGAATTAGCGACGGAAAAATTCCGTCGGTAATTAGCAACGGAACTATTCCGTCGCTAATCCATCGCTATTCCGTTGCTAAATTCCGTCGCTAAAACCATGTTTTTTTGTAGTGTATTTAGAGCTAAATTAAATATCAAACTAATTCTTATACTAAGAATTAGAGGTAGTATATAGTTATGCGTAATTAATGTAGCATTTGTATAGCGGGTTATCACTGCACTAGATCGGCTTGGCCGATTGAACTGGGAACAAATCTCATGTCCATTAATCCAACCATTAATCATAAACTATTGCTTGTACCGCTTTAATGGCTACTCCAGTTCCCATTGCATGTGTGGTGTTTTTTCATATATTGAAAATGATATTTGTGGGAGGCTATAAGAAAATAAACAGCTAGTAATTAGAAAGCTACAAGTTGGTATAAAGTGTGAGGAAAGAGTTAAAAGTTCAAATTCTCCTTATATAGCCATCAAAAATATGTCATTAAAATTTTTATTAACAAACACAACATAATTTTTGTGTACAGGACTTCTAAGTGATTTTCAAAACAACGGATATTAAAAGTAGGCTTTTAATGACAATTCTTAAAGTTCTTCACTAAAAATGTAAATAAAAAGATACTTTTTTTCAGCAACAACTTTCTATGGATGCTTGCCCTGATCACTTGTGGGCTCTTGCAAATTCTGATAATCTAGGATTTAATCCCCTTGAGTCTTTTGATTTTGTTGGGCATTAGTTATCTCTGGCTCTTAATACAAAATTAACTTTGTAATGCAACCTTAATGGAAGATTAATTTTGTAATTATCCTTTAAATTATCCTGCACCATAATAATACCGATAGTCATTAGGTAGAAGATGCATGTATGGGAACTTTTGATATATGGCAATAAAAGCCTGATAGGACAAAGATAGAACTGTGAATGGGCACTCAATTGAAAAAGTTGAAAGTAGAAAGAATATGCTCATGATCACATAGGCAAACAGGTCAACAAAGGCAGTGCGAAATAAAAGTATCACTGGTTAATTAATTTAGAGAAATTAAATAAGTTACTCAACTATTTAATTATAGCATATGTTATGTGATATTTTTAAAATATCTGTTTATATTATTAGATTATACATTTATCTATAAGTGAAACCAATTAATTTGAAGAAAAATGATCAATATAAATACTTTAAAATAGCTTCATAACTTTCTTAATTTCTCCAAATAAATCAAATGGGTCTTATATTAAGAAGTTGAAATTATAATTTTGATATCTTTTTCATCGTTCTCTTTGGTTTCAGTATTTTCGTGTGAAAATGCTAGCCTCTATATATTTAATTTGTTCAGTCACGCTGCTTGATTCCTTACTCATGAGGTGATTTGCTGAATGGACATTAATTTTGGGCCTTCTGGTTCAGTTTTGGTAATGACAATTCAGTCCAGTCCAATTCCAGTGAGATGTTTAGTTCAGTCCTATTCCCAACTTGCCACATGGCCTCTTATCCTTTTAGCCACAGCCCACATGGTTTAGTGTCCCTTTGTTATGGGAATCGCTTTTTGTGAAACTTTTGCGTAATATTAAATTGATTTTTTGTGATATCTTAATATTATGTACTCCTTCAGTCATTAATATAATATTTATTTAACTAATTTGATTAGATTAAAAATGTTAGGTAAATTAGTTAATTATAAGAAATATGACATGTTTTTCCTAAAATACCATAATTATCTTTTTTTAATACCCCATCTTCCTCTTTTACTTGATTATGGTTCAGGAATTATCCATAAAGATAATTTAGAGAAAACTGATAAATATGGTCTATTGAGCATTCGTAATTTTTTTGAAAAATGTTACTTTTGATCCTGAAGTAAACCAACCTGTTTTGTAAGAAGGTAATAATATCTTGGTTGGTGAATGAAATCAAGTTTCTTTCTTGCTTTACTTTCTCAAATTTTTAATTTTTTTTTTTGTGTAAAATTCATCGGCATCAGGGGTTTGACGATTTGTTTTGAAGAGTATTTTAAAAAAATTATAGATTATCAAAAATAGAATCGACAGAAAGTATATTCTTCTTTTTACATTTAAAAATTATCATTTTGTTTTTTCTTTTTCTCTTTGATTTGACATTAAATTCTTTTTAATTTTGGGTAGCATAGGTTGAGGAATAAATGGTGCTAAGTGTGGACTTTTGAGGAGCTAGGGTGGTACTTGAATTTTAGGTGGAGAATTTCATTAATTTAATTCCCTTGACATTATTGGATATCTAAGTTATGACCTTTTGCATCTAATTTCTTTTTCTTTTTAATTTGGATTAGTGGTGAACAACTAGGATTTTAAATAATCATAAATTTTATAAGTGACGCTAATTATAAGTGATGTCGGTTAATCCTGATTTCTGTTTGAATATATTTTGTTATAAATAATTTTAAAACTTGTGATTATATTTGGTTTTCATTTATTAAAATCACTTATAGATATATAATTACCAAAAGACATGAATTTAATAAATATTATTAAATATAATCATTTGGGGAGAGATTTCGGGAAGAGTGCGGGAGGGTAAATTGAAAAAAATTTAGTTGAACAAAATTGATTGGGATTTTTCAAACACAAAAGCTAATCCTTAGTGCTTATCCTAAAAGTGTGATAAAAAAATAAAATCATGATTTACCAAAATTTTATAAAAATTATCCAAACAGAATAAACAAGCTTCGTAATTATTTATTTAGATATAAATGGACGTATTTGAGTTCTCACCTTAACCAAACAAACACTTGGAGGAGAATCCTCTCCTCCATTGAATTATTTTATTTTTAAATTATTCTTTTTATCACTTACATTGAAAACTACTCATTTGTTAGAAAAACAGTTTAATATTTGCAATCAATATGGAGAATTCAGAAAAATTTTGAAGTTAGGAAATAAATTATATTAAGTTTTCAAATTTGAGGGAAAAAAAATTCTCTACTAAATCTTATATTGAGAACTGGAGAATATTAAACATTTTTTTCTGTTGTTTTCACTTTGAAGACCCAACATAGTTTTCTTTGCAAAGGCAGAGTTAGTCATGCCAATTAAATTTTGATGCTAATTTAACAGATGGCATTCTACACTGATCTTAAATCTTAAGTTACTGTCATCATCAGCAAAACGTTGAAGTGAAGCGAAAAATAATATCATTAGACTCATAGGAAGACTGTAGAAGAACCAAACGTATAATGATTTTGCAGGAAAAAAGCTCCACTAGAAATAGTTTGAAATAATAAATAATTTTTGCTGCCTATAAAATCCAACACAATTATACATTAAAAATTAAGTTACATCTTTTTCTCAACACTATATATACAGAGGATTTCCAACTATGGTCTCCAAAGGGGAAAAAAACAAAGAAGTTTCAACAATTGTATTGAATCGTAATGTACAAATATTAAAAATAAACTTTCACAAACAATGACATTGAAAAATCTAAAGCATATGTTTTGATCATTTATAAATATGTAGGTAACCTCATTGCTAGTTGTACTTTTCTTACCAACCCTAATAATGAAATTTGTCAAGTAATATTAATTTAGTCAACAAGAGTACAGCTCAGCGAGGATGGTAATTCGCTTAAATCGTACTACCTGTATATGAGGAATATATAAACATTTCTTGAACTCTAAGGCGTTTGTTTAAACTATTTTTTATTAAATAAGTGTAACTTTTTTTTTCCCAATTTTATATATATTTACAAAAAGGTGTTTAATTAAATGCAATGGCATAAATAGAGAAATAGAAACATACTCTGCGTTCTTATTTTTAATATTAAAGCTAATTATGTGAGTGGATTTATTTTTAAATAGATAATCTCAATTTATCTTGCCTCTTATTTTTATCATTTTTTTTAAAACTAATCTACATAATTTATAGATTAATAAGCTATCTAAATTAGTTAAGTAGTTTTTATATTAAAGATTGGGGAAATAATTTTTTTTTTTTATCAACAGCCAGTCATATTAGTAGGAAAGGGTTATAACCACTCAAAAATAATTTTTTGAGTTTGAACCCACGTAATCTTAATCTATAATTTGATTTGATAATAGTCGAATCTCACGTGAACTAATAATAGTACTAAATATCATATAGCAATAATATAAAACAAATAGTTGGAAAAAGGAAAAATGTCAAAAAAGTGATAGTTGAATTTAAAAATTCTAAATCAGTATTGGTTACTACACTTATAAAGAAAATAACTATATTTGAAAAGTAAATGACAATACATTTTTGTAGTAGTTCCTGATTTAGAATTTTGAAATTCAACAATATTTTTTTGTGGGGATTTTTCCTTAGAAAAAAGCAATATAAAACAAATAAATTATAAATATATAAAAACTATTTTTCTTTACCTAATATAATTAATGAATATAAAAAGTCTTGAAAACCCATCCTAACTAATTATCATAACGGCCTATAGCCTGGAACCCCCAACACGTGCGCCCATAAGGCCATAAAAGAAAATAACCCCTAAGGACCCTCTCTTCCCTGAACAATTATTCCTTCTTCCTCCTTCATATGGGCCGAAGCCGAACCCAAGAAATTGAAAAAAAGCTAAAGAAGTCACCAGACAAAATCTAAGCTTAACTTATCTTGCTTCTTCCTTCATCATTTCGTCTCACTGTTACTTCCTGCTTTACCTGAACTCTCTCGTCTTTTTAACTTTTATTTGCGCGGAGGATTCGAAACCCCGAGCATCACCTCTCTTTCCCACTCCCACGTTTTTCTCAAACGCTCTAGAGCAGAGACGGCAGTGTCTTTTGAATACTTCTCTTCATTCTTTTAATCCTTTATCGAACTTCGATCTTGATCTGAATCTGGCGAAGTTCACGAATTTAGTAGGAACGTGTGAATCCGATACCATTCTTCTTCCCTCAAACGTGTTTTGCACGGCCTGAACTTAGTGTTATCACTCGTTCAACAGCCACCCCCACATGGTAATGACACTCTCCTACTTCTCTGCTTTTTACCCCTGAAGCGCCACTTCTTACGATGTTTACATTCTCCCCAAGGATGTAGGAAAGTAAAAAAAAATTTCCTTCTTCCACTAACGGAAGCTAGCTGGCATTTATTTATGAGCTAAGGCAATGTTTTCTTTCCTTATTTACTGATGTTCTGTTCATTTGATTTCATACGGATTTTGATTCTGTAACAATGAAGAATACCCGAATGGAAGAATCTTAGGACACATCTGCTCGATCTGACATCATGAAGGGGGCTTTTTGTGCATACCCAGTGTTTTGAGATTTGCTATGTGCGAAGGACCCAAGACCAAGAAGTTAAATTTGTATTAGAACCGTGGTAAAAGGAAAAATGCAGTCCAGGTTGGGAGCTTTAGAGGAAGGGAAGGAACCTGTAACTGCATCTAGGACAAGTCAATCTAGGCCCTTCCCCTTGAGACTATTGAAATTCTTCTTGCTATTCTTGATTTTTGGCATTAGTGCTTCAATTGTTAGCATCATTATGGTTCGGCGTTTTGGAATCAACACTGTGCCCCTACTAGTACAGTCTAGTACTTTTAGGCCTTGCTTTGAGCAGTCAGGGAGCATAGAAAGTTGGATTAGGCCTCCATCAAATTTGTTGCATACAATGAATGACTCTGAACTGTTCTGGAAGGCCTCTTTTGTTCCAAGAATTAAAAGCTATCCATTTAAAAGGACTCCCAAGATTGCTTTCATGTTCTTGACGAAGGGACCATTGCCATTTGCGCCACTCTGGGAGAAGTTTTTCAAGGGGCACGAGGGGCTTTATTCAATTTATGTTCATTCACTACCATCTTACACGTCTGATTTTCCGCCATCTTCAATTTTCTATAGGAGACAGATCCCAAGCCAGGTATGAGCTGCCTCTTATTTTACTTTATTTTCTTTTTCAAGATTAATGACTCAATCTGTTGTATTCATTCCTAAGAAAGTAGCATCATCCATCTTTGATAAATGTAAATTTCTGTTTTCTGTTGACTAGTAAAGATTAACATACCAGTTACTTGTAGTTGGGTGCTTTGTGCTAGTCATGTTATTTGTTATGTTCTTCTGTAATATTACCTCCAGTCCTTAATATAAGAACTAGATAACTAATTTACGAATATTAAGGAAATTAGTTAAGTTTGTTATTTGTAATAAATGAGTATTATCTTTCTTAAAATACCCTTATTAATCTGATGCATTGGAACTATCTATTGATGAAAATCACTAAACATGTGTAGTCACTATAGAGATTACTTGGGGACAAAATGGATTTACTTGGGGACAAAATGGATAAACATGAAAGACAAAGTTAATTAAGGTCTTATATTTAAAACTAAATTGATTCTACAACTAGCTCTTATACTATGGACCAGAGGTAGTAAATGATTATTTTTGATAATTTTGATTGATTGCTAGATCTTAATCTTTTGTGTAGTATAGTCTACAAACTTGGTAGCTTCATTTTGTTGTCTTTCCTATGAGTGAAAATCTCCCAAGCCTGCTGCATGCCTGTCTTATGCTTTTAATGCTATACAGATTTTAATAGAAAATATATGACAGGATGATTTAATAGATGATTTCCTTTGCTGTATGTCAGACTTACCGTCTGGAAAGTATTCTTTATTTCATTCCTCAGCTATGAAGTGCACCGTAGTTAAAGGGAAAGTAACTTTGCGTTGTTCTTTTTTGTAGATTTTATTTTATATCATTTATATAATCTCTGCTCTATTAGAAAAAGGTTAAGGTGTAAATTTTCTTTGGAAGTTTTGGCACCTGAAAGTTTTTTTGGGGGGCAAATTTGCCTGAAAAGTTTGAAATTGTATCAGTGTTGCTTTTTACCGAAACGAACATTGACCATTAAAGTAGTGACATTGACCATTAACATTTTTATTTTTTAATGGTAGGGGAAAATATTGCTACAATTTTAAACTTTCAAGGCAATTTGCATCTAAAAAAACTTTCGGGTGCCCAACGCTGTTGAGTGAAAACTTTCGAGACAAAGTTACACTTTAACCAAATAAAACCTTGAGAATAATCCTTCTCAGAAAGAATAAGCGTAAACACCTTATTTGCTTGGTGGGTTGTCCTGTACTTAGTTCAGTAGCTGTTAAACTGCTTCATGCTAAATGGCGATGTGATTTTGAGGAGATACATGTATTGCAATCTATATTGGACTTTGAGCCTCCAACGATTTGGATCAGTATCTTCCACCTCTGTATTTATATGTGTGTAGTAATACTAGCTCAATGCTTAACACATCTCTTCATGAATGTCAGGTTCATTCTCCGTTCTTATCTAATTGTTGATGCGTTAAGCATCGAACTAATATTACAATCAGATTGCACACTTACTCGAACTAGGAAAAAATCATTATCAGAGTCCTGATGTCACATGTTTCTTCTTGACAATGTCTTGTTGTTCATTGTCAAGTTGTGTGGCATTGGCCTGTAGACTAACACCATGAAAACTCCTCTGTAAGTGGGTGGTGATGAGTTCAATCCTGCTTGTAATCATTGCACCATTAATTCTTGCCCCTCTAAATGCTTTTTTTTTGGGGGGGGGGGGAGAGAAAGTTGTGTGGCATTGAAATATATATTCGGCAAAACAATTGCATTTGAATTTCTTTTTTAAGAAAACACACTGTTCAATATATGTTCGGAGCCTAGAGAAATCACAAAAGTTTTAAATCCAACTATCAAACACAGTTCCGTCCAACACCTCATTGGGAGTACATTCTTGTTCTACTAAAAAGATGCTTTTAGACGATTTTGATAACGTGTTTGTTGGGGCATGAATTTGGAGACAAATTTTTGGTTGAGCATTATCTATGACTATGAAATTACTAATCAGCTTTTTCTTAAGCAGTTAGCAGAATGGGGAAAGATGAGCATGTGTGATGGTGAAAGAAGACTCCTGGCTAATGCACTGCTTGATATGTCAAATGAATGGTTCATCCTCCTATCTGAGTCCTGTATTCCTCTCCAGAACTTCAGCATTGTGTATCGATATATATCCCGGTCATGGTACAGTTTCATGGGTGCAGTTGATGAACCTGGTCCCTATGGTAGAGGGCGCTATAATGAACACATGGCTCCTGAGGTCAACTTATCTGACTGGCGTAAAGGACCACAGTGGTTTGAAATTAACCGGGAACTCGCAGTTAGAATAGTTGAAGACAGCACTTACTATCCTAAGTTCAAAGAGTTTTGCACACCACATGCATGCTATGTGGATGAGCACTATTTCCAGACTATGTTAACCATTAACACTCCTCATCTTTTGGCAAATAGGAGCCTCACTTATGTTGATTGGTCTAGGGGTGGCGCTCACCCGGCTACTTTCGGTAAGGATGATATCAAAGAGGAATTCTTCAAGAAAATTTTGGAAGAGCAGACATGTCTTTATAATAACCAGCCATCATCTCTTTGTTTCCTCTTTGCTAGAAAATTTGCACCTAATGCTTTGGGTCCTCTTTTAGCTATAGCATCCAAAGTTCTAAGAATTTGAGAATGGTCTAGCTTGTTGGAGTTGAATCTTTGAAGGAGGCTTATTCGAAGCATATGTTAGTATAGTTTTAAGTTAGCTGAGCTCCTTATAGACACATCATACAATTAATCTTCTCTTCCTCCCTACTTTTTGCAGAATTTAGTTGCTCCTAGACGTATAGGATATTGAACTTAGTTACATTTTTATACCAAGTATAAGCCCCAATTCATACTAATTTTATTGGGTTATTAGTTTGCTGCTTGCTGGTTAATTTAGTCCTATGCTGCTGTAACCAAATTAATAAGCTGTAACCAAATTAATAAAAATTGCACCATTTTCCTTTTTAGCATGTCTTGCTCATTACTAGACGACCTGTTTTGTTTGTCTATACTATTTGAGGAATAACCACCTACACTTCATGTTCAGATTTTTCTTGTGATAGATGAAGAATAATTAATTGAAGGAGAAAGACGAAATTTGCATCTATTCTTTTAATCTTATAAATATTGGTTGACATGAGAGAATTGGAATTACGTGAGTTCCGAGCTTGAGGTGAAAACATTCGCTTTTGTAAGATTACAAATGTTGTCTTTCTTCCTTTTTTTTTTTTTTGTAAAATTTATTTCATCTTAAAGAGAATAAAGTACCACTATCATAGTAAGCCGAAGGTCAAGTAGACAAAAACCTGTAACAAGAAGATGTTCATTTGATCCTTGTGAACTAGAAAAAAGTGACATTGAAGAAACCAATTCATCATTTCCACCCTAACAAGGCTCAAATTAGAGGAACAGAATATAAGAACGAATGAAAGAAAAGGCAGGAGGGAGCAGGGTAACTCCATGGTTCTTTTGGCCTCCAAAGTGGTTGATGTTTAGGATACCCTTCTTCATAGATATAAAATTTATTATTGACTTGAATAGAAAAGGGAAAGGATTTAAGGTACCAATTTTAAATTTTTATAATAGTGTTGTAAACACAATTAAAGAAAAAGCAAATATTAGAAATAGAGGTGTGCATGAATTCCAATTCCTCCCTTCACGCACTCTCGTTTTCTTTTTATTTATTTTCTACTTCACTGCAGCTAGTAACTTACGGCAGAGAAATCAGGTTTCATAATTTTATTTGACTACAGAATCTCTGAATTTGAGCTACTGCTCTTTCCCCTATTTGCAACGAAATAATGCGTCAAACCAATGCCTAATATCAGCTATTTAGCCCAATTCTCCACGAAATTTAGATTCATAGTTCATCATGACCCATCCCTTCTGCAACTTTCACATTCTGCTGAAGTTGAAGGAGGTAGCTACTAGCTAATGATGCATGAAGCGCAGCCCCATAAGGAAGAACATCTTCATTGACTCTGAAATTAGGTGAGTGCAGCGACTCAAGTTGTCCGAGAGAAGCATCTGCCATTCCAATGAAAAAGAAGTAACCAGGGATAACCTCTTGATAGAATGAGAAGTCCTCAGATCCCATCATTGGCTTCACCTCATTAACCTTTTCTTCACCAAGCATATCCCCTACAACCTGTCGAAAATGCTCATGCAATTTGCCATCATTAACGGTAGCAGGGTAGAAGGCATTTTCTTCAAAAAAGTTAATTGTTGCATTGCACCTCTGTACAGCAGCTTGTCCAGTGATCACCTGAAGGAATTTATCAGCCTTAAGCCGAAGTAGGATTGCAAAACAAAACAATAGCTTACAATTGTTTTTTGTAACAACATAATCATGTTAGTGTGTTTATTTTTCATTGAGAGCTGCGAAGAGTAATTAATGATCATAGGAAATTGATTGTCAGTCAAGATTAATGCAAAAATTAAGATGGATTTTTTTTAAAATGCCACGCATGATATATGGATGAATATGTCGTTCATACAATATCATGCCTGAAATTAACTACCAAGAACTCGATTAGAAAACGTTAGGTGATCTATGGGGAATTCACCGTATATTCCTAACACAATTCATCATCAATTTAAAGTATAATTGTTGAATAAGATAGTTTTATTTCTGTTCGTACATCCAGTAATCTGAATTGACAGTGTTGTCCCATGATCTAACAGCATTTTCATGTCGTTTGTGGGATCAAATTTAAGCCACTTAGTCCTGGTAACCATGAAGAAAACATATAATCTATGACTTAGGTAGTAATGCAAAACAAAAAATGAATTATAAGCATTAGAAAAGTGGGGGAGACATATTCTAACATAGACACCTGCTCAATCCGTTGTCTTAGTTGCACAAAACTTTCTTTTGAAAAGGAGCGGAAGGTGCCACCAATAGTGACAGAATCTGGAATAACATTGAAAGCACCGCCTCCTTGGAATTTTGCTATTGTCACAACCTGTGAGGACAATCATGATGTTAGGTAGAGATAGGATCGTCACTCTAAGCAAGGAAAACCCTCCAAGATTTATAATCATTTTCACCAAGTATGATCTCTAATAAGTGATAATATAATGATTTCTTAAGAGTTTGGAATCCATTCCAATATGGCTCAGCTACAGAATGCAACATGTCCTGGATTTGGTTTATTACCCTTTATAGTCTATCAAATCCGCTTACATTCTAAGATTAACATTGTATACTAATTAGATGTACCGATAGTACTATTGATGGAATATGAGAATTAACATATTTTGAGAGAAACCTAGAAATAAATAGGCAATAGTTACTTTTAATGTTATTTTATTTTTAACTTTATTTGCGAGCAAGTAAGTTTCTTTTTGTAATGATGGCAGAGCAATTCCTTCATAGGAAGGAAACCTTTGGCTAGAGCATTTGGATGTTTCCTTCATGAGAAGGAAACCTCAACCTCTATGCATACATACATATATATATACACACATATATATTTATGTATGTATATATGTCCCTTATATATTATGGAGATAGACTTGGATGATAATGAAATGAACTTTCATATTGTTTAGTTACTCTATATTCCCCCCGTTTTCTGTCTCTTCTCCCTTCCTTCTTATCCCCCTCAAGTTCTTCATATCCCCCCCCTTCTGGTCTTATGTCTCCCTTCTTTTCTCTGCCAACCCCTCTCTTACTTTCTGTCTCTTCTCTCCCTCATCATCTCTTTTCTGTTCCCCCATCTCTTCCTCTTTGTGGGTGTTGCATCAAATATTCTCATTTTTTATGTCTCAGATGTTTTTCTCTGCTCCAGAAGCATTATCGAAAGCAGATGCTGTTTAAATTTGTTCACCAGATTGTTTGAAGTGTTTGGACAGCAGAAGATATGTCTCACTACCTTGGGATGTTCTGTTTACTATCTGCTCGAGCTTTCGGATGCAAAAAGGAGAACAAGGAGCTTTGAGATTGCACTTTATTGATCTTAGATGGTTTAAAATGTGGTAAAAATTTACTGATCTTGGATAGTAAAGAACCTAAATATAAATAAATGGTGGTGGTAACTAAAAAGCAGAAGAGCAAGAAACTTACCCGGGAGTCCAAAGGATCAGCCTCGCGAGAAACAAGATGCTGTAAGCTAACAATCACATTAGAAGCTGCCAAAATGGGGTCAATAGAATGCTGAGGAAGAGCAGCATGACCTCCCCTTCCACTTATTACTGCTTCAAAGAAGCCACTGCCAGCCATAAAAGGACCAGATCTAGAGCCCACTTCACCTATAGGTATGTTTGGCATAACATGCAATCCAAAGATAGCAGCGACATTTTCTAAGGCTCCAGCAGCTAACATTTTCTTAGCTCCCGCACCTCCTTCCTCTGCTGGTTGGAAAACAAGAACTACAGTTCCCTATTTAGAGTTTAGAAGACAAAAAATGAAAGATAACAGATATCATTGAGTGGAAGAAACACAGAACAATACAATTGAAGAGATGTAGACCACATGATTGACTGTCCTGTGAAACATTTATTCTTTTCCGGTAGTACTTAAATACTGAACACCACCGTCAAACATATTTCTTAACAAATTTTTAGGAACTGAAATTTGAGACTAAGTTACATGACCTTTTACCGGGAGAAAATGATAACAAATTGCCCGAAGTAAAGAAAATGAAGGTTTAGTGAATTAGACTCTGGCACAATGAAGTGTAGTGACCTCGCTTTCAAATATCGTAAAAGCAATATTTCAATGTTCTAAACCAAAATAGAGCAAAATAGACCTGTATGTCTTTTTCACGCTGTTTGAGTATCTTTGCGGCACCGAGAAGCATAGTAACATGAGCATCATGGCCACAAGCATGCATCTTTCCAGGAACTTTACTCTTGTGCTCCCACTCCACCATTTCCTAAAGGACTCGGGCAACAACAAAATTAATCAACACAAAAATACACATATCGAGAGCACTCTAACCATTTGGCCTCTCCATTATTTGATCAATTTAAGTAGAACAGCAAAGCAGTCTTTTTGGAATCACCAAATTACTTAAAAAAAGGACCAATATTCGGTTATCATTTTCAGAGACCAACTTATACTGTCAGAGCTGAAGTTAAACAGTCTAATGATTTACGGAACAAATTGCTAGTGTGTGTGTGTGTGAAAACACAAAAAATGAAATCTATGATGAAATTTGAGAGGAGGCGAAGAAATTTTAGCTTCTCCTAGTCGGAAGCTATGAATTAACATCACGCAAATCCATCTAAAAGGCGATTGACCATTATATATTGAATTGATGGAGTGGGAGTAGGAGAGTTTATAAAGAATTCAAGTACTTGAATAGGAAGAGCATCGATATCAGCTCTTATAGCAACAAAAGGAGGTCGTCCAGTGCCTATATAGCCAACAACACCGGTCACTGCAATTGGGTATTTATATGATACGCCCAATGTATCCAGCTCTCTTCTGATCAGCTCACTGGTCTGAAATTCCTCATAAAGCAATTCAGGATTCTCGTGAAGTTTCCTTCTGATTCCGACCATCCAATCAAAAACCTCACGCTTCTTGGCAAAATTTAAAAATTCGGAGGACGTGGGAGAGAGTTTGTTTGAGCTCAAAGAAGTGTCCGAGGAGATGAGTGTTGCAGCGAGGAGATGGCAGATGATTATCATGCTGAGCCACCAGGAGAAACCCATGGTCGCTTTGCGTGTGAAAATGTGGGAAAGAAGTTCAGAAGAGGATAATAAAAAGAGGGCACAAAATCTTCATAAAGATCAATGGAAACGCCCACTTGGTCTCTTCCAAGCTATTTTGAAGGAAATGGATGAATGGAAAAGGAACGGAATAATTCCAACCATCTGCATGTTTTTTTTTCCTTCTTTTTTTGGCAACAACTATCGACATGCTTGGACTATACAGTATACAATGAAATGAATAATAGTTTGATAAAAAATAGATTAAAATATACATTTAGTCCTTTAATTTTAAAATTATTAAGTTTAGATTATGATTTTTTGTAATAATTATAGTTGTTTTAATAATTAAACTTGATATATTCGTATTTGAGAACGTTATCAATATTTAAGATCTTAATGTCATAATTTTTGTTAACAATTTTATGGTTAAAGAACTTAATATTAAAAGGACCAAATTAAAACTTTCTATAAAATTAAAGAATTAAATGTATATTTTAGCTAAAAAAATATTTGAAAGATGAAAACAGTTTGATATTTATAAATTGTTTTTTTAAAAAAGAAAATTTATCAGGATTTAACTTTTGTTGAATTAATATGAGTTATGATAAAAATTGCTTGAGAATTTTTCACTTAGAACCTTTGGACATTCAAAAATATTTTTGGATTTGATATTGCCGGCAAAGTTTCAAGTCGCAGCAACTTGACTGCTAAAAATATCAACGGTCATGCATGCGTTGATTTTATATAGATGAATATATCATGAACTCGTTTAAAAGGTTGGGTGATCTATGGGGAATTCATCACAACTCATCATCAATTTAATTGTTGAATAAGATATATTTATTTCTGTTGTAACATCTGGTAATCTAAATCGATAGTGCTGCTTGGGATCATATTTAGGATATTTAGTCCTAACAACCGTAAAGAAAATATATAATCTATGACTTATTTAGGGTAGACTTGGATGACAATGAAATGAATTTTGTTATGGTTTTGCTACTTTACAATATCCCCTCATTTTCTTTCTCTTTCTTTTCCCTTCCTTCTTATCCCCTTCAAGTTAGATGGTAAAGCAACTAAATGTAAATGAATGGGTGGTGGTAATTAAAAAGCAGAAGTGAAAGAAACTTACCTGAGAGTCCAAACAATCACAATGGAAGCTGCCAATACGGGGATAATAGAAGCTGAAATTTCAAACTTAGAAGTTACATGAGCTTTACTAAAGAAAATGAAGGTACCAAACTTATTCATCTTCTTTGACTTTTTTGACTTCTAAATTTAATAATAAAAATCACTCCTTTTGTTCTTAATTATAAGACCCAATTGATTAATTTGAGGAGATTAAGGAAAGAAGTTAAGTTAGTTATTTGTAATAAATATGTGTTGTCTTTCCTAAAATATCCTTACTAATCAACTATATTGGCTAGAACTACAATTATTAGAAGGACTATCTTAAGAAAAAAAATGCATAAATATGAGAGACAAAGTGGATTGAGGTCTTATATTTAGAACCAAAATAAAAGTCAAGCAGAGTCTTATATCAAAGACCGGAGGTAGTAGTACTTAACTTGAGCATGAAGGCCACAAGCATTCATCTTTCCAGGAACTTGTGCTTCCACAAGCATTCACGAGAATCCTGAATTGCTTTATGAGGAATTTCAGACCAGTGAGCTGATCAGAAGAGAACTGGATACATTGGTCATTAAATATAAATTCCTCATAAAGCAATTCAGGATTCTCCTGAATCTTCCTCCTAATTCCGACCATCTAATAAAAAACCTCGTGTCTTCTTGGCAAAACTTAGAAATCTGGAGGACGTCGAATGGAGTTAGTTTGTGCTGTGTCTGAGAAGACGAGTGTTGCAGCGAAGAATGGTAGATGAGGAGTGTAGGAAAGAAGCTCAGACCAGAACAATAAGAAGAGGTTACGATATCAAGTGGAGGAAGTGGACGGATGGAAAAGAAAAGGAAATACTCTGCCAAACTATTTTGATGGATAGGGACGGATGGACGAGCAAAGTAAATACTGCCAAACCATTTTGATGGAAAGGGATGGGTGGAAGAGCAAAGTAATAGGAATAATTACAATAAAGTCCCAAAAAAAAAAAACAATTGAAAAACAAGTCCAGAAGTTATGATTCTTACTATAAAACTTGTTATCATAAGTTGTTAAAGTTGTTATTAGGACCTTTTGGTAATTATTTTTCTTCTATGAGACTTAATTGTAATTGTCCCAAAATAATAGTCAACCAAACTTATTTTGAAGGATGGAAGAGAGGAGGAGTAGAAAAATAATTCAACTAGCATGATTGCAGCATACAGTATACCATGAAATGAAAATAGTTTGATAAAAAAAAATTGCATTTAGCATATGAAAATAATGAGTTGATGAGGAAAAAGGAAAAAAAGATAAAATGACTATAATGCCTATAATATGAAAGTGGTGAAATAATTATTTAATTAATCATTCGTTTTGGTAAAAATAAATTTATAAATATTAATCATATGTTAAGCACTTAGATTTTCACATATTCTTCCGGCTTTAACTATAAGACCCATTATATAGTGTAACTTGCATTACAAAATGAGTCTTATATTTAGAACCGGAAGAATATAACTCCAAATTTGTAATTGTGGTTCTCGTTGTAGCTTTTTGAATTAGTACTTATAGTGAACCGCAAGTTGTACCAACAATAACGCTAAAAAATTTATAGAGATTATTAAAATCTCTCTTTTCTCCTCTTTTTCATTTTGTTAAAATTCATTACACTTTTTTTCCATTAAACCAAACAATGCCTCAGTTTTACCCAAACAAAAAAAAAATCACACCCACGCAATATTTATTAGGGATTTTAATAAAAATTTACCAAAAGCTTAAAAAAAAAATTTGCACCAAACAAGACAACCTCTAAAATATAGTTATATTTTGTAAAAAAATTTTATTATATATTTCAAAAATATAATGAATCATAAACAATATACCCCATGAATACTGTTACTTATTGTGGATTGGTAGAATCAATAGAAGCATTGGGGATTGTGCTCCACCTGTCCCCCGCTTTGAATCGACCCTTTACAAGTATAACAACAGTCACTTCCAGGAAGTGACCTTATCAAACCAAAGCTCAATATCAGCTCAGTTTGGGCCAGCATGGATTTCCAATGACTATTCAGTTTCATATCAGCACAATGATCCAATAAATCTAGATTCATAGTTCATCATGAGCCATCCCTTGTGCAACTTTTACATGCTGTTGAGTTTTAACAAGATAATTAGTAGCTAATGATGCATGAAGTGAAGCTCCATAAGGAAGAACATCTTCATTGACTCTGAAATTAGGTGAGTGCAGAGACTCTAGTGGTCCAAGAGAAGCATCCTCCATTCCAATAAAAAGAAGTAACCAGGGATAACCTCTTGATAGAATGAGAAGTCCTCAGCTCCCATCATTGGCTTCACCTCATTAACCTTTTCTACACCAAGCATATCACCTGCAACCTGTCGGAAAAGCTCGTGCAATTTTCCATCGTTAATCACCGCCGGGGAGAAGGTATCCTCTGCTTCGAAGAAGTTAACTGTTGCATTGCACCTCTGTACAGCAGCTTGTCCGGTGATAACCTGTGAGAGACGTATCAGCTTTAACATATGACTGAGGTAGTAATACAAAACAAGGGATTAAGCTTTTTTTTTTTTTTTGGGGGGGGGGGGGGACATATTCTAACTGTCACACCTGCTCAATCCGTTGCCTTAGTTGCATAAAACTTTGTTTTGAAAAGCGCGGAAGGTGCCACCATAGTGACAGAATCTGGGATAACATTGAATGCGCCACCACCGTGGAATTTTGCTATTGTCACCACCTGTGAAGACAATCTTAACATTAGGCAGAGACAGTATAGTCAATCTAAGCAAGGATAATCCTCGAAGATTTCTATTCATTTCCATCAAATAGAAACTCTTATAAGAGGGATAACGATGATTTCCTGGCATTTGGAGTCCATTTTAAGAAAGCTCAGGTACAAAACGCTATGTTGTGGATTCTTTCATGTTCACTTCCTCTTGCACTTGCATGATTAAAATCGCATACTACTGGGATGCACTAAAAGTAAAATTCTCACTTCTTATGTCATAGATTTTTTTCTGTTCAAGGATACATGAGAGCAGACGCTGTTTTAATTAGTTCACCAACATCCTGCCAAATAGTAACATATCGATCATTTTAAACGTATGGAGAGAACTATATAAATCCATCTACCTTGGAGGTTCTTTTCTATGTGCCTGAGGTTTTGGGGTTTAAAAGGGAGAATAAGGAGTTCTGGAATTTCACCTTACTAATCTTAGATGGTTTAAAATGTGGTACAAACTTATGGATCTTAGATGGTTAAGCAGCAAAGTGTAATAAACAAGTGCGGTGGTAATTGAAAAGAAGTGAAAGAAACTTACCTGAGATTCTAAAGTATCGGCCTCACGAGAAACAAGATGCTGTAAGCTAACAATCACATTAGAAGCTGCCAAAATGGGGTCTATAGAATGCTGAGGAAGAGCAGCATGACCTCCCTTTCCACTTATTACTGCTTCAAAGGAGCCACTTTCCGCCATAAGAGACCAGATCTAGAGCCCACTTCACCTATAAGTATGTTTGGTAGAACATGCATTCCAAAGATAGCAGAGACATTTTCTAAGACTCCAGCATCTATAATTTTTCTGAGCCCCTCCATATTTTTCCTCTGCTGGTTGGAAAACAAGAACTACAGTTCCCTATTTAGAGTTTAGAGGTACAAAAAATGAATGGCGTCAGGTATCATTGAGTGGGAGAAAACAGAACAATAGAAGACTAAGAAGACTTCACATGGCAAGATCAAGTGTAAGAGAAATATCTGTGTTTCAAAAAAAAAAAAACCACAACGTACCTGGATCTCTTTTTCATGCTCTTTGAGGATCTTTGCCGCACCGAGAAGCATAGTTACATGAGCATCATGACCACAAGCAGCATCTTTTCAGGAACT